CTCGCTGCAGGTGCCACGTCAGCACCATCACACGCGCCAGCTCATCCAGGCATCCTGTCAGCCTCTGCCAGAGAGCCTCCCTGGCTCGAGGTGCCCCGCCCATTGGAGGTGTGCCGCTCCGCATGGCTCCTCCTAGGAGAGGGAGGAAAAAAGAGAACGAGGCGAAGCGGATCAAGTGACTAATAAGGTCTATGACTCTATGTCATTACAATGCCAGATCACCAGGGATCCCACCGGCCTCTGCTAGAGCATCTCTTGCTGAATGGTACTTCAAATAAAGTTAAATAAATCCACCGAAATCTCCCTACATCTTCCCATAGTCGTCTACAAACCCCGCACCATACCTGGTCCACCCACAGACCCTCCTAAGCCTCCACCTCCCCCGGATGCTCCCATGCTTGCACTGATTGCCTGGATTTGGAGAGATGGGAGGGAGGAAAAGTGGGGAAAAGAGATACCATCAATTTTTTCACAAGAGTTTTTCAAGCAAGCTCTCTACTCATTTTTACTTAAGCTTTTTCAAAGTTGCTGCCACGTAAAGACCTATGGCACCCAAGTGGTGTTCACTCTGGATTTGGAGAGATGACAGGAAAGAAAAATGGGGAAAATGGGCGACATTGCATCCTCATTTTCATATCTCAATTAAACTGTAAATCTGGTAGGAAACACACACAGGCAACGAAGATGGGTGAGAGGAGAGAGAAACAATTCTGAGGGAATCAGCACAGCATTGAGTGAGAGAGGGAGAAAAATCGGATCTTTTGATTCCTTAAAGAGGGTATTGGAGGTCATTTATAGCAAAGCTTCGTAAAATACGTAAACACACCTTCATGTCGAGCCCAGTGGCCACTGCTCTCATTACCTGCCCCTTGTGCTTCATGAAGGGGCTTTTAGGGGCATCAGAGGGGGATGCCTACCTTCATGTCGAGCCCAGTGGGGTGGCCACTGCTTTCATGGCCTGACGCTTGTGCTTCACGGGGCTTCACGGGTTTCGGGGTTTAGGGCTAAGGACACACACCTTCATGTCGAGCCCTGTGGCCACTGCCCTCATCGCCTGCCCCTTGTGCTTCGCCACCAGCTGGTCCACTGTGGGTCGCAGCTCGCCCATGTTGAAGAACACCTGAGAGAGAATAAGAGGCAGTGATAGAGATGTGGGGGATTCCTTTTCCAAACAGGAGAGCATGTGATGTGACGCCCGCCGCTGGTCCACAGTCTGTCTGTTGTAGCTCGCCCATGTTGAAAAAAACCTGAAGGAAACGGAGGGGAGAAAAGGTGAAGGCCCATGCTGAAAAGCACCTGAGTAGGAGGAGAGGCGTGATAAGAGCGCGGGAATGGGAGGGAAAAGAGGCGGGAGTGGGCTGCTTCGTTATAAGAGATCACACCCACCTGGTCTACTGCAGCTCATCCCTACCTCTTTTCCCTCCCTCCTTTCCCTCCCCACCCTTACCCCCTTACCCCCCTACCCCTTCTCACCTGCAGCACGCTGCCCACTTCAGCCTGGTTCATCGCGTCCTCCTCATCCCTGCATCTAATGCCCTCCTCGTCACCTATTTTTGAGGCGCCTATAAAATAGACTGCCCACTTCAGCCTGGTTTATTGCCTCCAGCCCTGCATCTAATGTCCTCATCATCTATCCCCTGTTCCCTGCCCAGCCATGCTGAAGTTGCTTCTTCCTCCTCTTTCTTCTCCCTACCCCCAACCCAAACCCCTCGCACCTGCAGCACGCTGCCCGCTTCAGCCTGGTTCATTGTCTGCATCCTGATCGTCTGCCCTCCCTCCCCACCTAAACTCTGTTACACCCCTCTAGAAACCCGAAATATGGACACCAGAACCCAAACCAAAACCCAAAGCCCAAATCCAAACCCCTCACACCTGCAGCACGCTGCCCACTTCAGCCTGGTTCATCGCCTCCATCCCTGCTTCCAGCGACTTCATCGCCTCCCTTCTGATCGCCTGCCCTGCCTCCGCCACCCACTGCTGCTGCCCGTCCACCAGATGCACACCCCCCAGCTGCGCCTCCCTCCGGACCGTCTCCACCTCCTGCCACACCTGCCCCGCCTTGCTCAGCTCGGCCTTTTCCACCCCTGATGATAGGTGCTCCCGCAACTTGCGCACCTAGGGAGGGTCAGCGGAAGGAGGGACGGAAAGAGGAGTGTGGGAAGGGGGGAAGGGGGAGAGGAGAGAGGGGGACTTGTTTTTTTTTATTCCAAGTCTCTTACTCATGCTACGTCCTACCCTGTCTCCGCCACCCAATGCTGCTGCCCGTCCACCAGATGCACCCCCCCCAGCTGCGCCTCTCTCCGAATCGTCTCCACCCTCTGCCAAGCCTGCCCCGCCTTGCTTAGTTCTGCCTTTTCCACGCCAGATGACAGGTGCTCGCGCAACTTGCGTGAACAAGGGGGGAGGGCCGGGAGGAGGGGGGTGAGAGATGTAGGGCGGCAGAGTTGGAAGAGACGGGAGGAGGGGGTTGAGGGTTGTAGAGTGGCAGAGCAGAAAGAGACGTGGTTGGTAGAAAGGAAGGGAAAGGCGACGGAAAGCAAAGGAGGAAATAAGGAGAGAGGGGTGAAGCAAAGGGAATGGCACGCAAATGCAGGAATTGAGGCATGAAACCACCAACTTACTCTGGGTAGGTCTCCGTTCTACTACCCCACGAGGAATATTTAGTATCCACAAACAACAGGATAGCTTTTCTGCTTATATGTCATTTAACACACAAGATTATCCACTGACTATAGAGCGGTTTACAAGGTCTAATTCTCCACCCACCAGCTTGAGGTATTTAATGACGGCTCTTAGCAGCTCCATGGTGTCGTACAACGCTGCCTGGTAGAGGTATAGTTCAGCGCCTCAAAACTATACTCACCACCACCAGGAGATTAGTATCCACTCACCAGCTTGAGGTATTTAATGATGGCTCTTAGCAGCTCCATGGTGTCGTACAACCCTGCCTGGTAGAGGTCTAGTTCAGCGCCTCAAATCTATACTCACCACCACCAGGAGATCAGTATCCACTCATCAGCTTGAGGTATTTAATGACGGCTCTTAGCAGCTCCATGGTTTCGTACAACGCTGCCTGGTAGAGGTCTAGTTCAGCGCCTCAAAACTATACTCACCACCACCAGGAGATTAGTATCCACTCACCAGCTTGAGGTACTTTATGACGGCTCTTAGCAGCTCCATGGTGTCGTACAGGGCTGCTAGCTGGCGTGTCTTCACCTGAATGGCTCGATATGGGTCCGCTATCTCTGCCCGCACACGCTGCCAGGCAGGAATAAAAGAAAGACGCAGAAAAAAAGCGACGGCTATGGTTGGTAGTCAGAGTGAATTGAACAGGATTTCAGGGCCCCCGGGGGCAAATTGAACAGGACTTAAAAAATGCCCTCTACCCCCTGTCCCACCTTCACCACCCCAACTCTCAGAAACTCGCACACACCAGAACGCACCTGGACGGAGGCTAGTAAAGAGTCGACTCCAGCGCGCACCACAGAGAGCACGCCCTCAGTGTCTTTTAACGAGGATAACTGCTGCAGCAGCTCGTCATGGTGCGTCGCCACCTCAGCCTGCACCTGCGCCTGCAGCGCAGATATCACCTCCCCCAGCTGAGCCGCAGTGAGCACAGATGAGCCTTCCTTTCCCCCGGCTGCCATGCTGTGTGCTAAGGCCTATAGGGGGGAAGGGGAGAGGTAGGGGGAGGGGGGAGGGGGGAAGAGAAAGTTGAGAGATTTCAGCGCAGATACACCTCCCCCAGCTAAGCGCACTGAGCACAGATGAGCCTTCCTTCCCCCTGCCACCATGCTGTGTGCTAAGGCCTATAAGGTGGAAGGGGAGAGGTGGGGGAAGGGGGGAAGGTGGAAGGGGAAAGGCGGGAGATTTCAGTGCAGATATCACCTCCTCCAGCAGTGCTGCAGTGAGCAAGAACGAGCGTAAGATCTGCGGTCGTATATGTAAAACGCCTGGAAACAAGCCCTTCGGAAGACTTCCATCGGACGTACATGTGAGTGTAGAAGCCTTTTGAGGCGCCTCAAAAGTAGAAGCAATCGCACGTTATGAATCAAGCTGAAAGTTCGTCGGTCCACTCATACGCGATATTAGGAGGACGGGACACTAACGACTATGCTCTAGGGTCGAACTTAATAGACCGCTTGCAACCCGAGAACCCGAATTACGTACACTATCACGACTTTGAAATGAATCTACGCAGCGACATACTCGGCCTGCATCGTGCACTTACAAAAGCATACGCGTTTAGAAAGCCGACCTGCAGCGAGTACTAAGAAAGTAGTCCTAAGTTACTAGTCTATACAGCCGACCTGCAGCGCGTCGATGTCTTTAAGTTGCTCCAGCTGGCGCGCCAGCTCATCGTTGCGCAGGACTCCCCCCTCCCGCGGGGAATGCGGAGACGCCTCCTCCTGCGCCTGCACGTTCCGCAGTACCCCCTTCGCCGATGCCATGGTTGGCCACCCCGCCGTGAAGTGCGGGGGAGCACGCCACGCGAAGAATCAGCTGATCGCGATGCGATCGAAAATAAGGTCGTGCAAAGATCGAAAATAGGGTCGCGATGAGATAGAAAATAGGATCGGCGCAACTCGGCTGCCCAAAAGCAAGGCCGGCTCGACTGGAGAGCCCGAGAGGTCAAGATAGCTACAGTACACGGTGACCGTTGTGGTTCACCGAACCGCCCTAACAGTGGCAGGAGAGCAGACAGAATTCGCTGGTCAGCAGGGTATTCGCTGCTCTGGGCTGTCTACCAGACAGAATTCTGCCACTGAAGAAAGATCCAGCCTCGGGGGAGCCTCCAGGAGCATTGCGACACAATCTAGGTTCTGACACACCCATGTACGCGTCAAGATTTTTTTTTTACATTAGAATAAGAAGTCGTCACAATTGGCTAAAATGAAGGGTAAGAAATGCAAGTTGTAGGGAAAACCCGTCAGTAAGAATAGCTACGACCACATTGTCTATCTCACTCCTGAACAGCTTACAATATAACAGGATGTTCCTGATTGTTCTGGTATTCTTTTAGTCCACTCCGCTGTTCACTGCTTCTGCAGGATATGATTCCTTCAGCTAATCAAAAGACAAAGCATAGGAACTTGAATAACAAACTTTCACCATAAAAAACACTTTAACTCATTCTGCCACTAATGACACAACTCAAGCTTTGACATTCACTCATGCAACCCATAGCCCTTAGTGCTGAAGCTACACTTCTCCGTCCTCAAGCTCATCGTCATCATCATCCATGATGGCACGTCTCTTGGCCGGCCGATGGTGCCACATCACCACATCCTCCTCACTCTCCCCACTGCTGGCACTGCTGTCCACCTCCTCTCCCTCCTCCCTCTCATCCACCGCCCCTGCAGCAGCCGCAGAACCAGGAGCAGCAGCAGCAGCAGCAGCAGCAGCTGCTGCTGCAGAAGCAGATGCAGGACCAGTAGCAACGGGTCCAAGACGACCAGAGGGGCCTACAGCAGAATCACAGCGGAACGACAACCCTGCTCCACTCCCTGCTGCTCTCCCTGCTGCTGCTCCCATACCTCCTCTGCCTCCAGCGCTATGCCCCGCAACGCCCCTCTCTTCCTCTGCCTCCTGCTTCACCAGCACAGCCTTCCCTCTGCTGTCATTCTGTGCTGGTGCTGAGGGCCCTCTACTGCTACCTTGTGCCAGTGCTGAAGGCCCTGTGTTGCTCCGTCTCTCTACTCCTGCTCCTCCTACTCCTACTCCTTGACCCCCCCTTACCCCTGTTCCCGCATGCTCCCTCCTCTCTATGCCTCTACCTGTCTCTCTATAATCCCTTCTCTCTACTCCTGCCCTGCTTTCCCTTCTCTCTACTCCTGCCCTGCTTTCCCTTCTCTCCACTCCTAACTCCGGCCCGCCATGATCCCTAGGCTCCTCCTTTACCCGTATTTGCGTTCCTCTATGGAAACCCCCTTCCTCTATCATCTTTCTTTTCCTTGCCTCTTCTGGATTGTTTTCCCCCCCTCCATGTGGCGACCCCCTCTCTCCATGTGCGCCCACTCCACCCCTTTCCCCTGCTGCTCCTCTTTCCCCACCTCCTCTTCCCCCTTGTGGCAGCCCCCTCTCTCCACTTGCCCCACCTACCCCCCGCTCCCCGGCTTCTCCTCTCTCCCCACCTGCTCTTCCTGCTCGTCCTGCTCCCATTTCTCCACCTGCTTCCGTCGCTCTTGGTCTGCTTGGACCAGCAACTGGACCGTGCCCACTTCTCTCCTCACCTCCTCTCCTCCCCTCACCCACTCTCTTCTCCTCACTCACTCTCTTGGCATCGCTCAATCTCGTGGTCTCAGCCACTCCTCTGATCCTATCCGCTGCTGCAGGTGACAACGCTCTCTGTTTCCCCGCCACTGGTGGCTTGATCTTAAGCGCATTTCCGACCCCTCCTGCTGCTGCTCCTGGTCCTGCTGCTCCTGCTCCTGTTTTTCCGCCTGCTCCTGCTCCTGCTTGTGTTCTTCCTCCTGCTGCTCCTGCTCCTGATCCTGCTGCTCCTGCTCCTGCTCCTGTTCCTGCTCCTGCTCCGGTTGCGGTGGCTCTACCTGCAGCACTCCTGTCAGGTGCTGCAGGGGAAGCAAGGAGGCGATTGCTATCTGAAGCAGAAGCAGCATCAGTCACAGCGGAATGGCCAACCGCGTGAAGAGCAGCAGTGGAACGTGTGCGAAGTGTGTTAGTGGGGTGCTGACGAGCAGTGAGCGTAACACCACGAGCAGCAGCACCACCAGCAGCAGCACCACGAGCACCAGCACGATCAGCAGCAATAACAGTGGCATTGCGTCTGGAGATCCCAAGGGTCACCTCGTTATCAGCTGGTCTGACGTAGTTAGGGTCGTTGCACGTGCCTCGTATAGGGTCCATGTAGCAGAACCTGTACGAGATCAAGCAGAGAATTAAGTAGAGAATCAAGAGAGAATCAACAAGAGTCAACGAAGGTCGGCATATTCTGATCGATTGGGGTTGTTGCACGTGCCTCGCATGGGGTCCATGTAGCAGAACTTGTGTCAAGCAAAGAGTCAACGGAAGTCAACAAGTCAACGAGAGCCAAATGGAATTAAAAAATGGACGACAGCATGTGTTCGGACAGCCCTATGCAACTGGCGTCAACGCAAGTACACCGTATTGGGTCTATGTGAAAGGTCCTAATAAAAGGGAGAGTCGACCAGAGTCAACACCTCACCAGTTCTCGAACCGCATCTGACACATCACATCCGGCAGCAGCTGCATCTTGCCCCGTCGCCTCACACACCACTGCTGGCATTTGTTGCACTGCACCCACTCTCTCGCACGCACCCGTCAAATCCCTTCCAACCGCATCCTATCCCACCCTATCTCACCAGTTCTCGGGCAGCATCGCAGACGAGATGTTCGGTGGCAGGACGTGCCACTGCTCGCACTTGTCGCACTGCACCCAGTCCCTGTGGTCCTCCAGCACTGCTTCTGGCGCTATGTAGGGCTGTGGTCACAGGGGAAAAAGAAATGACACAACAATAACATACAGTGAGATACAGAGGTGAAAGCAGACAGTTGTCACACGCCATGTAGGACTGCAGCCACAGGAGAAGAAGAAAAAACAAACCCACACAGCGAAACAAGCAGAAAAGGAGAAATCAAGCTGCATTCACTGCACCCAGTCCCAGTGACTCTCCTCGCATCAGGGGATCAACATTTGAGGAACCTTTGAGCAACATTTGAGCAACCTTTGAGCAACCTTTGAGCAACCTTTGAGCAACATTTGAGCCGCCTCAAAAGTTCCCATAACAGGTTCAACGTATTCCTCAGAAAGCCTGATGCGGCATGCTGACATGCACGTTGATGTTGATGTTGATGCACACACGGCGCATGTTGATACAACGAGTCCCTTCATTCACACACACCATGGGGCGATCCCAGCTTTGTCAAAGCTGTCCTCCCAGGATTGATGGAACCTGTTGGCTAGAAAGCAACACATGTATGGTCCTCACTCACTCACTGTAGGCCGATCCATAGTCAAAGTTGACATGCCAATACTGGCTGGCTGAAAGACTTGGCAAAACGGTAACCCACGGTGCTTCTAGAGGTGACTTTTGAGTCGACTCAAAAGGCAAAACGGTAACCCACGGTGCTTCTAGAGAAGCACTAAACACGACTGGCACGCACTGTGGGGCGATTGTCCTCCCCGTACTGGTTTAACGTGCTGGCTAGAGGAGTCTATTTTTGAGGCACCTAAAAAATAGACCCCTCCCCGTACTGGTTTAACGTGCTGGCTAGGGATGGACACGTGGTGCTACCATGCACACACACACTGAATGACGGCACCACATCGCACCCCACCACACAGCACCACACCACACCACTCACTGTGGGGCGATCCTTGTCAAAGTTGTCCTCCCAGTACTGGTTAAACGTGTCGGCTAGAAAGTCCTTGAGCCTTTGATACTCCTCCCCCTCCGCAAACCGCTGCTTGCAGTTCAGCACTCCCAGTTCTCCTGCTGCGTCCTGCCGATGGGGGCACGCCAGGGCGAAGGGATAGAGGGAGCTGAGGGAGATTGCGCTTCGATCGCGCTGGCACACTTGGCGCTTTCATTTCGAGCAGTGATTACGGCTCAACATACCCAGTCCTCCTGTTGCATCCCGCAGAGGTACCAACAGACGCGGGGCAAGCAGGGAGAGGAGATGGATGTTGCAATTGAGGGATTACGAACAAAGGAGTTGGGATTAATGCTGCTGATTTGCTCTACTTACAAGTTACAACAAGAACGGGTCGTTTCAGCCGCCCCTACCACACCAACCCACCCAGCATCCCCCGCCGAGTACTCCAAGCGTCACACCCGCTTATACGCCTCAACTGTGCTTCAATACACCTCTAATTGCTGCCACCGAGAGCAGAAGCAGGAGTATCAACGAACGATCACTTACGAAAAGAGCCGTTGTGTCCACCACCCTGACCACACCAAACCCTGCATTCCCCGAGTACTCAATGCGGCCCACCTGCTTGTACGCCTCAATGAGCCGCCCGTGCCAGTACAGGAAAAACACACACCGCCCACATGCGCGCTCGTCCTCGTCTATGCCCATGCAAGCTTTTTATACGCCTCGACCGTGGTTCAAATTCAAACCACCTCAAGACAAAAGCACAGCTATCAACTGACACGTGGTGCTTACAAAGAGAGCAGTTGTGTCCACCACCCCCACGACTCCAAGCCCGGCATCTCCCGAGTACTCCATACGTCCGACCCGTTTGTACGCCTCAATGAGCCGCCCGTGCCAGTACAGGAAGAACCCGCACCGGCCACACGCCCTCTCCCCCTCGTCCATGCCCATGCGCACCGCCACCGGCTGCCCCATCACCTTCCCCGTGACGGCCAGTGGTTGGGATAAGCCCTGGGTAATGTCCACGCTGCCCTCCACTGGTTCCCCTTGCACAGTGATGGTTGTGGGGTTGTGGAGAAACATGACCCGCAGGTAGGCGCGCAGGGAGTAGTCTATGGGCACCTGGAGGGGAGGCAGATGCAGGGGTGGAAGGGCAGATACAGAGTTGGAGAACGCGGGGTCAACGTGAGTCAAAGGGTCAACGGGTAGGGTCAATGGGGTTGGGTCAAAGCGTCCTCGTCCATGCCCATGCGCACCGCTACCGGCTGCCCCATGACGTCCCCCGTGAGGGCGAGTGGGTGGGACAGGCCCTGGGTTATGTCTACCCTGCCTTGGACTCTCTCCCCTTGCACTGTGATGGTTGTGGGGTTGTGGAGAAACATAACGCAGAGAGAGGCACGCAGGGAGTAATCTTTGGGTACCTGGGTGGGGGAGAAGGGAGGGGAGGGGATGGGGAAGCGAAGGTATAGGGGCGGTGAGTTCATGCTGGGAGATGTCCATGCTGCCCTCTACCCGCTCCCCCTGGACTGTGATGGTTGTGGGGTTGTGGAGAAGCAAGACACGGAGATAGGCGCGCAGGGAGTAGTCTTTAAATCTAGCGGGAAAAATACTACCTGGTTCGGCTAGCATGACACGGAGAGATAGGCGCGCAGGGAGCTGCCGTAGAGGAAATTGAGGGGGGATCGGCTAGCTCACGTCTTGGCAGAGCTGGTTGGGGCGGGAGCAGGGCCGGCACGTTCGAATGGGGATGTCGTGGGTGCTGACGCTCCAGCAGCACTTAAGGAGGGGATAACTATGGAGGGGCAAAAGCCCCTCCTCAGAACCGAAGGATGGAGGGATGGACCATCTCACGACTTGGCAGAGCTGGTTGGGGCGCGAGTGGGGCCGCCCCATGCGGATGGGGATGTCGTGGTGGGTGCAGTCGTTCCAGCACCCACAGGATGGCATAGAGACTAGGGGGACGGTCAGACTAGGGGGACGGTCAGACTAGGTGGACGGTCAGCACCTACTAGCTCTTGCACTGAGTGTCCCACACAGACTGACCGTCACACACAGACTGACCGTCACACACAGACTGACCGTCACACACAGACTGACCGTCACACACAGACTGACCGTCACACACAGACTGACCGTCACACACAGACTGACCGTCACACACAGACTGACCGTCACACACAGACTGACCGTCACACACAGACTGACCGTCACACACAGACTGACCGTCACACACAGACTGACCGTCACACACACGACCGTCACACACAGACTGACCGTCACACACAGACTGACCGTCACACACAGACTGACCGTCACACACAGACTGACCGTCACACACAGACTGACCGTCACACACAGACTGACCGTCACACACAGACTGACCGTCACACACAGACTGACCGTCACACACAGACTGACCGTCACACACAGACTGACCGTCACACACAGACTGACCGTCACACACAGACTGACCGTCACACACAGACTGACCGTCACACACAGACTGACCGTCACACACAGACTGACCGTCACACACAGACTGACCGTCACACACAGACTGACCGTCACACACAGACTGACCGTCACACACAGACTGACCGTCACACACAGACTGACCGTCACACACACAGACTGACCGTCACACACAGACTGACCGTCACACACAGACTGACCGTCACACACAGACTGACCGTCACACACAGACTGACCGTCACACACAGACTGACCGTCACACACAGACTGACCGTCACACACAGACTGACCGTCACACACAGACTGACCGTCACACACAGACTGACCGTCACACACAGACTGACCGTCACACACAGACTGACCGTCACACACAGACTGACCGTCACACACAGACTGACCGTCACACACAGAACAGACTGACCGTCACACACAGACTGACCGTCACACACAGACTGACCGTCACACACAGACTGACCGTCACACACAGACTGACCGTCACACACAGACTGACCGTCACACACAGACTGACCGTCACACACAGACTGACCGTCACACACAGACTGACCGTCACACACAGACTGACCGTCACACACAGACTGACCGTCACACACAGACTGACCGTCACACACAGACTGACCGTCACACACAGACTGACCGTCACACACGACGACCGTCCCCAGCTGACCGTCACACACAGACTGACCGTCACACACAGACTGACCGTCACACACAGACTGACCGTCACACACAGACTGACCGTCACACACAGACTGACCGTCACACACAGACTGACCGTCACACACAGACTGACCGTCACACACACAGACTGACCGTCACACACAGACTGACCGTCACACACAGACTGACCGTCACACACAGACTGACCGTCACACACAGACTGACCGTCACACACAGACTGACCGTCACACACAGACTGACCGTCACACACAGACTGACCGTCACACACAGACTGACCGTCACACACAGACTGACCGTCACACACAGACTGACCGTCACACACAGACTGACCGTCACACACACTGACCGTCACACACAGGACTGACCGTCACACACAGACTGACCGTCACACACAGACTGACCGTCACACACAGACTGACCGTCACACACAGACTGACCGTCACACACAGACTGACCGTCACACACAGACTGACCGTCACACACAGACTGACCGTCACACACAGACTGACCGTCACACACAGACTGACCGTCACACACAGACTGACCGTCACACACAGACTGACCCCCCCCCCCCCCCCCCCCCCCCCCCGTCACACACAGACTGACCGTCACACACAGACTGACCGTCACACACAGACTGACCGTCACACCCCCCACCACACGACCGTCACACACAGACTGACCGTCACACACAGACTGACCGCCCCCCCTCACACACAGACTGACCGTCACACAACACACAGACTGACCGTCACACACAGACTGACCGTCACACACAGACTGACCGTCACACACAGACTGACCGTCACACACAGACTGACCGTCACACACAGACTGACCGTCACACACAGACTGACCGTCACACACAGACTGACCGTCACACACAGACTGACCGTCACACACAGACTGACCGTCACACACAGACTGACCGTCACACACAGACTGACCGTCACACACAGACTGACCGTCACACACAGACTGACCGTCACACACAGACTGACCGTCACACACAGACTGACCGTCACACACAGACTGACCGTCACACACAACGACCCACACACAGACTGACCGTCACACACAGACTGACCGTCACACACAGACTGACCGTCACACACAGACTGACCGTCACACACAGACTGACCGTCACACACAGACTGACCGTCACACACAGACTGACCGTCACACACAGACTGACCGTCACACACAGACTGACCGTCACACACAGACTGACCGTCACACACAGACTGACCGTCACACACAGACTGACCGTCACACACAGACTGACCGTCACACACAGACTGACCGTCACACACAGACTGACCGTCACACACAGACTGACCGTCACACACAGACTGACCGTCACACACAGACTGACCGTCACACACAGACTGACCGTCACCACACCCCCACAGACTGACCGTCACACACAGACTGACCGTCACACACAGGACTGACCGTCACACACAGACTGACCGTCACACACAGACTGACCGTCACACACAGACTGACCGTCACACACAGACTGACCGTCACACACAGACTGACCGTCACACACAGACTGACCGTCACACACAGACTGACCGTCACACACAGACTGACCGTCACACACAGACTGACCGTCACACACAGACTGACCGTCACACACAGACTGACCGTCACACACAGACTGACCGTCACACACAGACTGACCGTCACACACAGACTGACCGTCACACACAGACTGACCGTCACACACAGACTGACCGTCACACACAGACTGACCGTCACACACAGACTGACCGTCACACACAGGACTGACCGTCACACACAGACTGACCGTCACACACAGACTGACCGTCACACACAGACTGACCGTCACACACAGACTGACCGTCACACACAGACTGACCGTCACACACAGACTGACCGTCACACACAGACTGACCGTCACACACAGACTGACCGTCACACACAGGACTGACCGTCACACACAGACTGACCGTCACACACAGACTGACCGTCACACACAGACTGACCGTCACACACAGACTGACCGTCACACACAGACTGACCGTCACACACAGACTGACCGTCACACACAGACTGACCGTCACCCACAGACTGACTGTCACGCACAGACTGACCGTCACACACAGACTGACCGTCACACACAGACTGACCGTCACACATGTGACTGAGGGACAGGATGGACCATCTCACGTCTTGGCAGAGCTGGTTGGGGCGGGCGCGGGGCCGTCGCGTGCGGATGAGGATGTCATGGGCGCTGTCGTCCCACTCCAGCTCGTACGCCGCATCGGGGCGGGAGAGGCGCTTCAGGTTGAACACATATATGCGCGTGCCGGTGGGTGGCGTGCTGGTGGGCGCAGTGCCCGTGGTTGCAGCGGTGGTAGAAGCAGCAGCAGCGGTAGGAGAACTGGCTTCTTCCAACCTGCGGGGGGAATGAGAGGGCGGAGGAGGGATTAAGAGGATTGAATCATGGGGTTGTGAAAGGGTTCAGATGGGAGAGAGAGGAGCACAGGGCGCGGATGGGGATGTTGTGGGTGCTGCCATCCCACTCGAGCTCGTATGCCACGTTGGGCAGAGAGACACGAGACGCTTCAGGTTGAACCTGCAGCCTACCTGCTGAACATATGAGTCGACTCAAAAACAGAGAGAGACAAGACGCTTCAGGTTGAACCTGCAGCCCGCCTGCTGAGCTCCTGGTCGATCTGCGGTGCATCAAAGAGCGACAAGTCAAAGATGCTCTCTCTTCTCTCATCCTACTGCCCCCTCAGATACCACCGCCACCACCTGCCAGAGAGAGTTCTTCTTCCACGTACCGCCCTCTTTTCATCTCCACTAAGAAACAGAAGACGTACTTTCGGAACTCGTGGTCGATCCGCGGCTTGTCGAAGGGCGAGAAGTCAAAGATAGCTCTGCTCCGCCTCTCAGCCTCCTCCTCTGCATGCACCCGCAGATCCAGCTGCCACTCAGAACCACCTCCCCCAATACCACCTCCCCCAGTAACGCCTCCCCCAGCAGCGCCTCCCCCAGATGCCACCCGGCGGTAGGTGACTATGGGGATCTCCAGCTCCTGCCGGCCCTGGTTGAGCGAGCGCGAGAGGAGGGCGATGCTGCGGCTGTCGCTTGACTGCGTCAGAACCAACGCATCATTCCCAATGCGCATTGTGCCGGTCTGGTGGTTTGAAGAGAAGGGAGGGGCAGGAAGTAGCCTTTGTTGAGGGACTGAGGGAGGAAGGCAAAGCTGTGGCTGCCTCTTGACTGGGTCACCACCAGCGCGCCGTTGCCTATGCGGATGGTGCTGATCTGGTGGTTATGAGCATGAGGGGAGGGAGAGAGGCAGGAGAAGGGGGTGCTGTGAGTGTCACTATTGGGAGCACGAGAGCAGGGCGATGCTGCAGCTTCCCCTTGACTGGGTCACCACCAGCGCGCCGTTGCCTATGCGCATGGTGCCGATCTGGTGGTTATGCGCATGAGAGGAGGGAGAGAGAGAGAGATAGGAGAAAGGGGTGCTGTGAGGATGAGAGAGAGGCAAGAAGAGGAAGTTGAGGTGAGAGTCACTATGCGACAGCATCTGCACCAGCTCCCCTTGGCCCATGCTGTCTCTTCCCTTCCTTACATTGTTGCAGCACACCTTAAACCCAGCCTACCTTGAACCCAACACCAAATCTCCCAATGTGGTTGGGGTGCTCCTCGTCCGGCACCTCATGGCCCAGCGACAGCATCTGCACCAGCTCTTGATGGTCCATGCCCTTGCCGTCGTCGCACACGTGCAGCACAGGGATTGGCTCCGAGGGGAGGGGGGAGGGGATTGGCTTGGAGGAGGAGTTGGAGGCTACCGGTGCTGCTGCAGAGGGCGATGCTGCTGCTGCTGCTGCTGGTGCTGGTGCTGCTGATCGTGGGGGGGGTCTCGCCATGCTGATTTTGATGTCCAACCTGCAAGGCGAGGCATGTGCATTGGACAGATAGCACAGAGCACAGGAATGAGTGTACACGAAGCAAGGTCCGCCTGCTGCTGCTGCTGGTCGTGGGGGGAGTTTGGCCATGCTGGTGAAAATGTCCAAACTGCATGGGGGAGCATGTGAAGGCACTCACTGGAGCATGCGGTGAGAGAGGGATTGAGAAATAACGAGACACGAGAGGGAGATAGAGGATTCTTTCACAGTGTAGGTTTGAGAGTGAGAGAAGAGAGAGAGAGTGACGGGGCCAGGAGGAGGGGGAGCAGTGGGAGGAGGAGGAGCAGCAGGAGAGGACAAGCAGTGGGGGAAGAGGAGCAGCAGGAGCGGGAGTGGGTTCAAGCTGTTCTTACCTGCGCGCCTTAGCGTCCATCGAGTAGTCTATGAGTTCAGCCAGCCCCCCAAACACCCACTGCTGGTGGGTGTGCGCCAGAGACGCTAGGTACTGTGGATGCACGCCGGGCCCAAGAGGGTGGGGCAGAGGGTGGGGCAGCAGGAGGGGGAGTGGGTCAAGCTATCCTTACCTGCGCGCCTTAGCGTCCATCGAGTTGTCTATGAGCTCAGCCAGCCCCCCAAACACCCACTGCTGGTGGGTGTGCGCCAGAGAAACCAGGTACTGGGGATGCATGCCGGGGGCAGGAGGAGCGGGAGCAGGAGCAGGAGCAGGAGGAGGAGGGGGAGCAGGAGGCGGAAGGGGTGATATTGCCGCCGTGGACAATGGAGGTGCTGACGTGGACAATGGAGGTGCTTGAGGCGCTGCTGACTGGGCAGCATCACCAGCAGCAGGAACAGCAGCAGGAGCAGCAGCAGGACCGCCAATAGTCGAACCAAGAGGGAGGCCAGCAGGGAGGAGAGAAGGAGCGGAGGCAGGAGCGGAGGGAGCAGGACGATTGGAGAAGGACCCAGAGCCTGTGAAACCAGGGAAGCTCTGTGGTCCGGGTGAAGCACGGCCGTTTTGCAGCGCCTGGGAACAAGCTCTCGGTGACCCCGGAGCGTGGGGCCGGCCAGCCCTTGCTGGAAGGGGCGGCTGCTGCTGCTGCTGCTGCAGTGGTGGTGGTGCTGCTGCTGGTTGTTGGTGGTGCTGTTGCACAGACGTCGGGGATGCTCGTGGATGGCGCACACAACCAGGTGGAAGCTGCCCTGGTTGTACCTGCGTCCCTGGCCATCCCTGCCCCTGCTGCCCCTGCTGTCCCAGCACCCACTGCCCCAGCCCCTGGCCCTGCTGCCGCTGCTGCCCCTGCTGCCCCTGCTGCCCTGGCTGCCCCTGCTGCCCCTGCTGCCCCTGCTGCCCCTGCCGCCACTGCTGCCCCTGCCCCTGAGCAACTGCTTGTGGAGGTGCTGCTTGTGGTTGCACCTGTGCTGACGCCACTTGCGAGTGTGCCTGTCCAGGTGGCATCTGAGCATGTGCATGTGCAGGTGACATCTGGCCTGATAAGCGGGGAGCGCGGCGGGGAATGCCGGCAGGAAGCCGTGCGTAGTATGCCCGGGCAGTAGAGGGGCCGGTGGGGGGAGGAGTGGGGGGAGGAGCAGCAGAGGGGCCGGAAGGGGAAGGAGCGGTGGGAGGAGTGGAGATGGGGAGAAGGCCGAACTCGTACTGCCCTCCATCTGATGCGACAAGACCCACCTGGTGGGATTGGGACGGGGGGGAAAGGAGAAGAAAAATGACTTGATTGAGAGGAGCTAGTCCTCAGTGGATGTCAACAACTGGAAGCAGCTTATTCAAGTGCTCTCAGGATGCACGTAAGGGATTCAAACACCCGTCCCTCCCCCCATCTCCAACACCTACACACCCCCAACCCCACCACCCGACACACACACCCACCCGTCCACGAGTCCTGAGCACTTGAATGAGCTGCTCCCAGTTGTTGAAGTCCGCAGTGGACGAGCTCCTCTCGGGATAGACTCGGAAGTGCGGCAGAGACGGCAGGGAGGGCAGCTCCACTCGCGGCGTGAGCCTTTTCTGCAGCACCCACATCTGGCCGCTGTAATGGTTGGGGTATGAAGAGGCGAATGGGAGGGAGACACCAGGATGCACACGAATGGGTGGATGAAGGATCTACTTCGGGAGAATGGGCAGCGGCCGGGACTTGCTGCTCCCACTTGCTGACGTCCGTAGAGACGGCAGGGAGGGCAGCTCCACTCGCGGCGTGAGCCTTTTCAGCAGCAACCACGTCTCGTTGCAGCAATGGTCGGGGTATAAAACCGTTAATGGGAGGGAGACACGCGGATACACACGAGTGGGTGGATGAAGGAACTAATTCGGGAGAGTGGGCAGCGGCAGGGAGGGCAGGGAGGGCAGCTCCACTCGCGGGCGACGCTAGCTTGGCAAGAGCACCCACGTGTCTTCGTTGGATTGGAAGGGGCACACACGAATGGGACGGGTGAAGAGGTGTATGTGGATGTCACAGCAACAACAGGGCCAGCTGTGAAGAGATGTACGTGGTGTCACCTCCGATTCACAGCAACAACAGGGCCAGCTGTGGTATCTCTCTGCGCTCATATGACAGACCCTCACGACCGCAGCTTTGAGCCGACTCACAAGTCAGCTCGAGATGCCGTGTCACAGCGGCAACTGGGCCAGCGCCAGCAGGGCCAGCGCCAGCAGGGCCAGCGCCAGCAGGGCCAGCGCCAACAGGGCCAGCGCCAACAGGGCCAGCGCCAACTGGGCCAGCGCCAACTGGGCCAGTGCCAACTGGGCCAGCACCAACAGGACCAGCGCCAACTGGGCCAGCGCCAACTGGGCCAGCGCCAACAGGGCCAGCGCCAACAGGGCCAGCGCCAACTGGGCCAGCGCCAACTGGGCCAGCGCCAACAGGACCAGCTGTGGCGTCTCTCTGCGTTCATATGACAGACCCTCACGGCTCCACTTTAATAAGGCGCTTTCCACTCTCTGACCTGATGTCAAGAGGCCACGTGTCAGCCACTGACCTGATGTCAATAGGCCACGTGTCAGCCGCCAGGTTGCAGATGATTTTGTTATCGAAGTTGTAGAGCGGTACTGTGCTCACCACCTCGGGCTCTCCGGGGTCCATGTCTGCTCAAGCGCACGGGAATGAGGGGGGAGAGACAGGAATGGGAGGAGAGGAGAGGAGAGGAGAGGGTCCAATGCTCAAAGTTGTACAGGGGTACTGTGTTCACCACCTCGGGTTTGCAATGATCTATGTCGGCTCGAGCGCACACAGGAAGGGGAAGAACGGCAGAAGTGGAAGGGAAGGAAGGTTTGGTTTGATGTTCATGGTGCGCACGTGGCCAGCAGCGCGAGAAGGGGGAGCAGGGGGCAGAGGGGGCAGAGGGGGCAGAGGGGGCAGAGGGGGCAGAGGGGGCAGAGGGGGCAGAGGGGGCAGAGTGGGCAGAGTGGGCAGAGGGGGCAGAGGGGGCAGAGGGGGCAGAGGGGGCAGAGTGGGCAGAGGGGGCAGAGGGGGCAGAGGGGGCAGAGGGAAGGTGCGGAGGAGAGAGTGGGACGCGAAGTGAAGCGCGACTGAAGCGCGAGAAGGCGCGTGCTGCTAGTACAGTCGTAGTTGGCAGCTTTCTGAGTCGTTTCAAAAGAGGTTAAAGTTAGAGACGCCTCAAAACGAGAAAGGGATGCGAGACGCCAGAGGGGTCCGTCCGTGCTAGAAGAGTTGTAGTTGCTAGCTCCGGCTTTACTCCATGCCCCCTCGGCTTTACTTCAAGCCCCGTCCAGTCGTCCCCACCAGTTGGTGGCTCTGGCGGCACATGAGTAGAGAGTAGGGTGCTAGTCGAGGGGCGACGTTGCTGATCGATCAACTAGAAGCGCCTTCTAAGTGCTGGCACACTCGCCGCAGTTGCAGGCTCCAGCTTTGCTTCAAGCCCCGTCCAGTCGCCCCCACCAGTTGGTAGCTCTGGCGCAACATGAGAGTAGAGAGGAGGCTGGGCGAGGGGCGACGATGCTGATCAACTAGAAGGGCCTTTCGCGCTTCGTGAGCTAGCACACTCGTCGCAGTTGGTAGCTCTGGCGCAACATGGGAGTAGAGATCCGGAGGGCAGATGAGATCGCTGATTACTAGAAGACATGACACTCGCGACGAGACGGAGAGGGTGAGTCGCCTTCAACGACACTCGCCAGTCACAGCGACACTCGCCAATCTCAGCAACACTCGCCAATCTCAGCAACACTCGCCAATCTCAGCGACACTCGCCAATCTCAGCGACACCCGCTAATCTCAGCAACACTCGCCAATCTCAGCGACCCTCGCCAATCACAGCGACACTCGCCAATCTCAGCGACCCTCGCCAATCACAGCGACACTCGCCAATCACAGCGACACTCGCCAATCACAGCGACACTCGCCAATCTCAGCAACACTCGCCAATCTCAGCAACACTCGCCAATCTCCGCGACACTCGCCAATCTCAGCGACACTCAGCCAATCTCAGCGACACCCGCTAATCTCAGCAACACTCGCCAATCTCAGCGACCCTCGCCAATCACAGCGACACTCGCCAATCACAGCGACACTCGCCAATCACAGCGGCACTCGCCAATCTCAGCGACACTCGCCAATCTCAGCAACACTCGCCAATCTCCGCGACACTCGCCAATCTCAGCGACACTCAGCCAATCTCAGAGACACTCGCCAATCTCAGCGACACTCGCCATGGTCGAACGCACTACGCAGACAGCTTCGGGTCCCATTGAACGGTTAGGCGCACGACGACACACGTAAGACGAAGGCGCAACGTCCATCCACGCCCAGCGGCGAAGAAACGGGCGGGCAACGGTCACAAGGCAAACTGGCGGCTCCGATAGCGACTGCGCGCATGCGATTGGTTATCCTCGAATTGCGTAACCCTAAGTTCCGTAACTGCGAAACTTGTACGAAATCTCGAACGCACGCTGGAAGTCGTCGTCTGCTAGCAGGCGAGAGACAGCTGAGGTTCGCGTCGCGCAAGGAGCTGAGTGTGCGACGCGATGCGACGCCACGAGCTCACCGTAAATGTCGCCTGCGACGTTGCAAGGATCCATGCAGGCCTAACCGGCAACCCCTGGAGCGCTTCGCGGGCTGTCGCGAGCTGCAGCGAGCCGTAGCTATCTGGCCATGTGAATCGACGGGACGGCCTCGAAATGACGATGCCGTGAGCACTTGACGGAAATGGTTAGACATCAACAGAGCCAACGCATCCAGCCCTGCAAGGCAGACGGCAACAGGCAGAGGCACGACCAGCCGTCAGTCTGCAACGGGTGGATGGAAACTAACGGCGACTAAGTACACATGTGATCTAGGTGAGAAGCTGGCTGGAGACAATTTGAGATAGCTGCAAATCAGCATGTGAGGAGCTACCATTAGTGCTAGCAAGGTCCCTCCCTCCCATTCTCATCCTCCTAATTTCTCACCCCTCCAAACCCTCCATTCTGGCTCACCAAGATTTTATCCAACACTGGTCGACCGTCATGGATGTTAATGCTGTCTTTTTGGAGGTGACACCTTACAGTCTCTCCTCCCTTCTCGAAGAACTCCTACAGCTTGTATGTGTATACTCCGGCCTACGATTAATCTTTAGCTGTCTGTGGCTACTCTTCAGGTTGAGGGCCGACGGTTTGGAATTGCTAATCAGCATTAGACGAATCCACAAGCCTGGCATTTGCGATGATGCCGCCTAAGCCCTAATCTCCTCGAGCTTTCTAGTCTTGTATAAGCAGCTTAACCTCCATGGACTAGCTACGATGCTAACTATATCGCACTACTATGGAAGAGTTTCCTAGACATACTGGGACTAACGGTGTCGTTCCTGAGTTTATGCTCTGTCCATGAGCTTATATGTGGCTGGATCTATGTAGAGGCGTAATTTGGAGTGGCATAATGCTTCGTGGGTCAACATTGCATGTGAGCTAGACATTGAGAGGTGCCATGTGGCACAGTGTGTGGTATAATTTGTGGGCTAAATATCCAACCTTGACTGAAATGTAACAACAACTGGAATGTGACTTGTTTCAAATGCATGTGATATAATTGATAACAAACTAATAACAAGTGCATTGCAACAACTATCACCATTTTCTAAAAATCCAACGATTCGATTCTTTTCATATTGCAAATTTTATGTTTTTTACTGAAATTGATAGGCTCATTATCGGGCATAGCCCATTGTTGGCAATTGCCGACGTCATGTGAGCCACCTTCTAAGAAAAACACTTTTCCTTACTGTGCATCATGCGCACTAGCGCGTACCGTCGTTGCCATCAGCCCTGACTGATTTGTCAACTTATACATATTATCTATGTAGAAGTTATAGGCTAGACTAGGTGTGTGCTTCTAGTGAGTACAACCAACTGGTATTTGTTCTATGTTTCTCTTCCTAGTAATTCATTCGTTTCTACGTTAACATGGTATCACGCTTAGGTTAGGATCCCCCCGCCTACCGCTTCCGCCCGTCGCGCCTCCTAGGCCCCGTCGCGCCCCCTAGGCCCCGTCGCGGCCCCCCTGGGCCCCGTCGCGCTCGTTAGGCCCCGTCGCGACCCCCTGGGCCCCGTCGTGCCCGCTGGGCCCCGTCGCGCCTCCTAGGCCCCGTCGCGCTCCCCCTGGGCCCCGTCGCGCCCGCTGGGCCCCGTCGCGACCCCTAGGCCCTAACGCGCCCCCGCTGGGCCCCGTCGCGCCTCCTAGGCCCCGTCGCGCCCCCCATGGGCCCCGTCGAGCCCGCTGAGCCCCGTCGTGCCTCCTAGGCATCGTCGCGCCTCCTAAGCCCCGTCGCGTCCCCCCCCCTCTGGGCCCCGTCGCGCCCGTTCGGCCCCGTCGCGCCCCTCCTAGGCCCTGTCGTGCCCGCTGGGCCCCGTCGCGCCTCCTAGGCCCCGTCGCGCCCCCTCTGGGCACCGTCGCGCCCGCTGGGCCCTGTCGCGCCTCCTAGGCCCCGTCGCGCCCGCTGGGCCCCTTCGCGCTTCCTAGGCCCCGTCGCGCCTGCTAGGCCCCGTCGCGCCCCCCCTGGGCCCCGTCGCGCCCGTTAGGCCCCGTCGCGGCCCCCCTGGGCCCCGTCGTGCCCGCTGGTCCCCGTCGCGCCTCCTCGGCCCCGTCGCGCCCCCCCTGGGCCCCGTCGTGCCCGCTGGGCCCCGTCGCGCCCCTTAGGCCTCGTCGCGCCCGCTGGCCCCTGTCGCGCCTGCTGTTAGCGCTCGCCCGCCTGGCCTCCTCCTAGTGCCGCTCGGCCTCCTCCTAGTGCCGCCCGGCCCCCTTCCTAGCGCCGCCCGGCCTCTCCTCAGCGCTGCCCGGCCCCTCCTCGTGCCCGACCGGCCCCAGCAGCACCAGCCTGGCCCCTCCCAGCACCAGCCCGGCCCCAGAGCACCTGCCCGCCTCCCCTGCTCGGCCTGCCGTGTCCTCTCGGGCCCTGTGTCTTCTGCTCGCCTGCGCTGGGACGCCTAGCTGCTGCCCTACTGGAGAGTGCTGCCGCCGTGTCCCCGCGCCGCTGTGCTCCTGTGCCGCTGAGGAGCTGTGCCGCTGTGCCGCTGTGTCGCTGAGGAGCTGTGCCGCTGACCCTGCACGATGGCTGACTTTGTGCTCCGCCTGGACGCTGAGGGCCACGCGGTTGACTTCGCCGCCTGGCTCTCCGATCTCCGCCGCCAGCTTACAGGTCAGCGCCAGGATGGCCACTCTCTGGTTGTCCATGCTGATGGCTTGCTCCCCCGCCCCCCTGCACCTACTCCCCTCCCTGCTGACCCCTCCTCTGATGACCGTGAGGCTTTCTCTACTGCTGCGCTGGCCTGTGCGGTCTGGGACTCACGCGATGCAGTAGCTCAGGTTGCTATTAGTCACGCCCTCCCTGTGTCTGAGCGCTCGCGTTTTGCTACTGTTGAAACGGCCAAAGCTTATTTAGACGCCGTTATTGCTCGCTATTCCACCCCTGCCTCCGCTTCTGCTGGCCGCTTGCTCTTTCCGATGCTGTTCCCAGACCTGGCTGCCTTCCCTACTGTCGCAGACTTTGCCACTCATTTGCGTGCCCTAGAGACTCGCTATCGCACTGCCAGCACTGCTGCCCAGCTCACTGCGCTCCCCCCTCCTTTCTGCATGACGCTCTATTTTATCGCTATGCGCCTGCCAGACCGCCTCGCTAGTGCTCGCGACCACTTTCTTAGCCAGCACCCGGGTGACCTCACCCTGACCGCCTTTGTCGACACCCTCACTGAGATCGAGACTCGCCAGCGCACTATCGCTCAATCGAGCGGTGCGCCGGCAGTCTCTATCTTTCACGGCTGTGCCCCATCCCAGTGCACGTTCACTGACGTTTCGGCTGAGGTCGCCACGGCGACCCGTCTTACCGAGACGGCTGCTGCTGTCCACCCGCAGCAGCGCTCGCGTCGCGGTGGCCGTGGCCGCCAGGGAGGTAGGGGTGGTGACGCAGGTGGTGGTGGTCGTGGTGGTGGTGACGGTAGTCCGCCTGAGGGGACTACCACCGGTGGGCAGGAGCAGCAGCCCCAGCAGCAGCAGGACCAGCCCCAGCCGCAGCCGCCGTCCCAGCAGCACCCGCCGCAGCCGTGGGCTCGTCTCCCGCCTGGTTGGCCCGGCACCTCCGGAGGCGGTGGCCGTGGTGGCGGCCCGCGCAGCTTGGCGTCTACCAGCGGCTCCAGTGCTGTGACCTGCCAGTACCAGCTTCAGACAGGGCCTCTCCGCGGCACTCTGTGCCGCCGCCCGCACCCGACCGCCCGCTGTTTCTGCCGCCTCGACGATCTTTTTCGTCGTCGCTTTGGCCCGGCCCCGGACCTCCCTGACTGGCACAGCCTGCTCCGCCAGGGCGTGCCGATCTTTGAGTTAGACATGGATCAGATAGGTGCTGCTTTGCATGCTTTGTATGCTGACGCTTCTAGTGTTGCTGGATCTTACTACCCTGTGTACTCTAGTTTAGGTGTTTCACCCTTGTGTAGCTTAGCTTCCCCTGCTGCGTCAGGCGTAGGACTGCCTAGGTTGCCTAGCCTAGCTTCTGCACCCGCCCCGTCCCCGGCCTCTGCCACTGCCTCGCTGTCCTTCACGCTCGACTCCGGTGCTTCTGCCTGTTTCTTCCGTGACCGGTCCACGCTCACGCCGCTTGCTGCACCTGCGGTTGTCTCCCTCGCTGACCCCTCTGCCGGTCCTGTCGTCGCTCGCAGTTCCACTTCCCTTCCCTGTCCAGCCGTTCCCTCGGGCTCTCTTACAGGCTTCCACGTTCCCTCGTTCTCCAGGAACCTGGTTGGTGTCGGCCGTCTTCAGGACCTCGGCGTCACCACCACGTTCCCTGGGCACGAGCGGTTCGCTGTCTGTACCGAGGCAGTCTCAGGTTCCCCTCTTGCGACGTTCCCCCGGGACCCGGTGTCTGGTCTGTTTACCCTCGACACCGCTTCCCCCCCGGTTGGTGCGTCCTCCCAGGTCGCTGCAGCTTGCTCGTGTCGGTCCCTCACTCACCCGTCCCTTCTCTGGCACCACCGCTTAGGTCACCCTGCTCTCCCACGTCTGCGTCACATGTCTCAGCACGGTCTTGTCTTAGGCCTCCCCGCGTCGCTCCCTGCCCTCCCACCCTCGACTGCGCCACCGTGCACGCCTTGCGTCGAGGGCCGGCTCCGCCGTGCTCCTCACTCCTCCTCGCTGCGTCCTGCTACTGCCCCCCTTCAGACCCTGCACCTGGACGTTTGGGGCCCGGCCCCCGTCCCCGGACCGCGCGGTGAGCGCTACTTTCTTGTGCTCGTCGACGACTACACGCGCTACACCACGGTGTTTCCCCTGGAGCGGAAGGCCGACGTGCCCAACGTTCTTCTCCCGTGGGTTGTGGCTGCACGTCTTCACCGTGGTCTCCCTGTGTTGTGTCTCCACTCTGACCGTGGCGGTGAGTTCGCCTCTGGTCGGCTTGGACAGTTCTGTCGTGCGGAGGGCATCACCCAGTCGTACACCTTGCCGGACTCGCCACAGCAGAATGGGGTTGCTGAGCGCCGCATCGGTTTGGTCATGGAGGTGGCTCGTACCTCCACTATCCATGCCGATGCCCCCCATTTTCTGTGGCCGTTCGCTGTCCGCTACGCTGCTCACCAGCTTAACCTGTGGCCCCGCTCCCAGCGGCCGCAGGTTTCGCCGACCCTCCTTTGGACTGGGTCCCCCGGTGACGCGTCTGCGCTCCACGTCTGGGGTTGCCTTGCTCACGTTCGTGCCTCTGGTACGGACAAGCTCACGGCCCGCACTGTCCCCTGTGTCTTCCTCGGTTTCCCCCTAGACTCGTCTGACTGGCTCTTCTACCACCCGCCGTCTCACCGCTTCCTCCACTCCCGTGACGTCACCTTTGACGAGTCTGTCTCCTTCTACCGCTGCTTCCCTCACCGAGGTCTCCCGGTTGCCCCGCCCCTCTTCCTTGCTCCCTCTCCCCCGGTAGCCCCTGCTCCTCTCCCGCCTCGTCCTGCCCCGTCTGGTGTCTCTCACGTCACTCCCCTCCCGTCGGTTGTCCCAGTTGAGGAGTCAGCTGACTCTGGTGGTCCCCCCGGCCCGTCCCTGCCGCGTCCCCCTTCCCCGGTGTCTCCGCCTTCCCTGCCGCTGCCACCGCCGCCACCGCCGCCGCCGCAGCCGCTGCAGCCGCCGTCGCCGCCGCCGCCGCTGCCGCCCTTGGCTCCTGGGGGTGCTGGCGTCGAGGAGGGTGTTCGTCCTGCCGCGCCTGGAGTGGTCTGTCCCGGCGGGCCTGGGGGTGCCGCTGGTGCTGGAGGGTGTTCTCGCTCTGGGGGTGCTGGTTCTGGGGGTGCTGCCGTTGAGAGTTCTGCCGGTCCGAGGGTCGCGGCCCAGCCGCCGTCGCCGCCGGTCTCC